GAAAAAAATAAGTGCAGTATAGCGTTTGTGTGCATCTGGCTTTCCAAACTCCTTAAATAATAAATAAATAAAAGGTGGAGTAAAAGGCAATTGATGTGGAGCCTGCTGCACCCTGCCTCTCTGCATAATCTGTCCCCACCCCTTCCAGATGGGATGACTCCCGTGCTAAGCCTCTCCTCCTCACCTCCCAATCCCAAAGTCTGCAGAAGAGTTGAAGGGCACCTGGAAACTGGATGGGCAGCAGCAGGAGCAAAACTGTCAGCGGAACTGGTTTTCTTCTTCTTGTGTTTAGAGAACTCTAGCTGGTATCTCTCTGAGCAGAAGCAGCGAGCTGGGCTAAAACAGGACCCTGTACTCCAGGTATGTGATGGCAAACTGGTCCACAAAGACTGAGTTGGCAGCAGAGAAAGGCTAACTACTTTTAACTGTTTTGAAAGGGAGAAATCTGAAATTGCTAAGCAATTAGATATAGCTCTTTGAAAAGGCACGAACCATTCAGCAAAAGCCACTCCTTTAAAGAGAGACTTTTATTTTGGTTTTAGCAAAAAAGTGCACAAAGACAAGTATTAGGGAGCAGATAAGGTGAAGATAAAGGGTGTCAACTTTGGGAAGGACTGGATTTCATTTTGAGTGCTTGCTGCAAGCTGTGGCACGGCAATACTTCTGAGGACGCTGGTAACCATTTTATGTCCATCAGTAGCAAGATCACATTAAAGGACCATAATAATTTCTTTTGCCCTTATGGTAATGAATTCCCATTCTTTCCCTTGTTTGGTCCATTGGAGCACTTACCATTGAAATAAATTACTGCTGGAGTTTAAAATGTTATCACTGGACCCAGGAAAATGGCAGAGATGTCACATCTTGGCATCACTAGTCCGAGGTCCTGCCAAACAGCACAGCGCTTTGAGATCACGTGTTCACACTCACTTTCTGAGAAGTGGGGATTATCCTTAGGACTATCTTTGCCCCTGTTTTACCTGACTGTTTTTTTAAAGATTTTTAGCCCCACCTCCCAAGTAGGGATTTGTTTTTTCCTATTGAAAACTAAGACTCAGCAGGATTTAACCAGGTGATTTGTTGCTCCCTAAAAATGTAATAGTTTGGGTCTGTCCTACCACCCAAGGGAGCGCACTTTTGCCTTGTGACAATAGTAAATATCTCTCCTCAGTTTTTATGTTACTTGCACGAAGGCTGAATGGTATCGAGACGCCCAATGAAGAGCAGAACCACTGGTGAGAAGGAGAAGCTATAAGAAGGCCTTCTCTTAATGAGCAGAAGGATGACAGTGGACTCATGGATATCACTTTTTTTTCCCTGTTAGCAGCAGTCAGTTTTTCCCCTGTTCTTAGCTTTGTGCCAGGCCCCACGTCTCCTCTGTGCTGGAGCTCAGTGATGAGGAGCGGGGTGTAAAGGTGAGATGCTGCCTGCTTGGGACTGTGCCACGGGGAAAGCAGGAAAAGGAAAAGGGTAATGGATGAAAGCGGTGGGAAGAGGGAATGAGGTGAGACAGGACACGTAGGAAATATCCTGGCTTGTTGCTTCGCCACACCGTGTTGCGTGGGACAAATTGGGCGGGAAGAAATAAAGTTTCTGACTTAACAGGATCCCATCAAAGACTTCTAAGCAGTTCAGGTGTGGCTGACTGTTTACTAATGTTCTCCGCAGCCTGGTGCCTGGAGGAGAGCCAGCTGGCTAGCCATAAATGAAGACATGCCAAAGAAATGATTTCTGGGAAGCAACGAACAGATAGGCAGTAGGCTGTTTCACAACTATTGCAAAGCTTAATGCCTCCTAAACATTACTTCCTTGAAGGGAACACCATAGGTTGTGCCCTTCTGAAAAAAAGACTTTTGTGGGGTAAGATTGTGGCTGCCATCTCAGAAGCCAGTGGTGTTAGCCGTCTTTGGGAGTGCCTGTGAATTCTCCAGGCAGTCTCTTGCACTTCAGCAAGGTCATTCATCTTAGGTTAAAAAAAAGACGTAGGAAGTACTTTTGCCTAAACAGACATCTCTCAAGCATGTTCAGGCCCATTATGGGGGGCTTAAACTAGGAGATACTCTCCCATGCATGTTACAACTTCCACTTTCACACAATGCCAAAACAATGGAGGTTTTAGTCCTGAAGATCAGGCTACTTTATGCTTCCTAGCACCAACCCTGACATTCAGATGTTGAGAAAGGTGGGAGAACAATTAACAAATGCAATCAGCTCCCAGTTATCAGCACAGGGGATTATCATAGAATCATAGAATAGTTTGGGTTGGAAGGGACCTCTAAAGGTCATCTAGTCCAACCCCCCTGCCATGGGCAGGGACATCTTCAACTAGATCAGGTTGCTCAGAGCCCCGTCCAACCTGACCTTGAAGGTTTCCAGGGATGGGGCATCCACCACCTCTCTGGGCAACCTGTG